AGTAAATTTCAAGCGGATGATTACATACAATTTTCTTCCTTTTGTATCTATTTTACTATATGTTATTTTCTTTCTTGTTTCTAATCGTATGTGTGTTTAGTATTTTAATGCAAGTGAATATAACAAATCCTGCAAGTCGATTGGTCACATTTGATGTATTAAGCTGTTATATTCACCTACAGGTGGATATAACAAAACCGAAATTTACAAATGGCGGTCGGCCGTTTTGTGGAAGTTACTGATAAAGAAAGAAGCGAAATTAAAATAAATTCAGTCCCAAAAAGCACAAAAGACTTCTGTAAAAATGCTAAAACAATTATTCGCCTCAGTCTCGGTGATTATCGGGGAATATTCACCTCGACTTTATCTCGGTGAATATTCCCGATAATCACCTCGCCTTCGGCGAATAATTGTCTCGCCTTCGGCAAATAAAATTATTATTATTAATGCAAAAAATGCTGTTTGAGGGACCCAAATTCAATTTTTTCAATGGTGGCATGTGCCTGAACTCCTAGAATTGTGACATACATACCAGCATCAAATTACAGCAAAAATGCTATGGCAACCAAACTCAATTTTATGTTTAATTTATAGATCACTAAGATCAGGAATGGCAATTGCCTTAAGTACCTCTACCACTCCTAATATATCTGATCAGGAGAGAAGATGGGTAGTTGTAGGTGTTTGTCTATCCAAAGTCCTTGCGCCTGCTTTAAGAAACATCCTTGCAAGTGAACTACAGAAGTGGTATCATCTTTTATGTCAACCACCCAATGAAATTGACAAGCAAGTTTTTCCCAAACACAAGAAGACACTCCTACCCTATTCCAAATTTCCGCTAAAATATGAGAATATCAACAATAACAATATCCACAAATTGCCAAGGGCTTACGACTATAAAGTTAAAGATCCTCTGTCTTTGGCAAAGTTGTTTGTGCAACCTTTCATGTCGATGTTTACCAGTTTTGACCAAACCATGGACATGTCTGCAGTTTTGGCTATTATGTGCGAAGCAGACCCATTTGTATCTTCTGGTGCTGCAGTTGATGCAAAGAAAATCAGAACAGATATCAGAAACAAGTGGGCTCATTGTAACTTTTCTGAGTGGACCCTATCCATGTTCCATGCCGCATTTAAAGACATGGAATCTTTGGTGAGAAAGATGAATCTATCTCTAATTGACGAAAATGCATTGTGTGATGATCTAGAGAACTGGAAAGGCAAAGGTATATCACGATTAATTACATATATGTTATTTACCGGCTGCGAGGTCCGGATGAGAAAAACTGTGCCCGAGGTCTTGAAAACGGCCCGAGCCCGAAGGGCGAGGGACGTTTTCAAGACCGAGGGCACAGTTTTTTCTCATCCGGACCGACGCTGCCGGTAAATAACGTGTTTATTTTTTATCAGATGTAAAAATTAAATTGATTAAAATTCCAGTGATGCTTGCGAACTAATTTGAGATCAGTGCAGTTGTGTATTTTCAAAGGGACGCTGACAAAATTCACAAAAATTGAAAAGTTAAAAGATATAAAACACGAATACGAAAACTGGAGAAAACTGGCAAGAAACACACAAAAAGACGTATAGTTTCAGTAAAAATGTACATGCTTTTTTCATGAATATGGTAGCAGAGAAGCTTTGGAATAAAAACTTTTATGCCTGGCGTTTTGGCTTTGACAAGTTGCTCCTGACAACGACAGGTTCATGCTCAGATCCGATCAAAAACATATAAAAATGAATCTGTTTTTTATTTAATTAACGTTTTTCTACTAAAAGGACATTGAAAAAGGTATGTTATTTTTATATTTTTATATTTTTTCTTGTCGTTTCACGATAATATGCTTGAAAAAAGTGTTTTTAAACACAAACTTTTACTTTGTTTACAATATTTATATCAGTGAAAAATACATGACACAAATGGGTAGAGAATATATTCGTGACTTGTTTTCACTGCTGCTGTTAAACCTTCTTTTAAATGGGAAAACATTTATTTTACAATATCTGTTTAAGCTGTAACTTTTTCGCTTTTAAGTGGCCGAATACATGAGCATTCAAAAAATATATAGTTTTCTCGACGTAAGTTTTATACATGTCAAATACTTTCCGACTTCCAGTCCATTTCTATATCAAAATATTGTCAATTGTCGTGAACATCGTGCTTAGTATGAAGCCTTTAGGGCTTGATGCAATTCATTTTCGTATTCTGACTATCGTTAGGCTATGTTTTTTAAACGTTTTTGGCAGATTTTTTCGTTTAAAAATTGTTTTACTCCTCAGTTTTTGCCGCGAAAACCAGAGCGGGCAGTTTGCATTTCACAGCGAGCAGTTGCGTTTCAGAGCGGGCCGGATGCAAAAAACCGGCCCGCTCTGAAAGGCTCCTCAGCCAATCAGATTGCTTCATTTTCACTGATAAAAAATAAATAAGGAGAATTTCGACGTTTCGAGCTATAAGGCCTTTCGTCTGTAGTTATAATTTCTAGCAGGGGTCGGGAAAATTACATGAGCTTTTATACTAAGAATATAAAAGCGATCACGTCACAAAAATGTAAATCACATTACAGAATATATTATTAATACAGTTATACAAAAAACACAGCGAATACAACAAACTATACGAAACAAGTAAGGAATAAGGTAAGAATTAAAACTACTGTCAATGTCTGCTTTAGACAGGCAAAGACAGATAGAGTTAAAGATAGGAAAAACGTTAATTAATGCCATGTTATGTCTATATTTAACTCCATCTGTTTTGTCTGTCTAAAGAGGACATTGACAGTACTTTTAATTCTTACCTTTTTCCTTACTTGTTTCGACAGTACTTTTAATTAATTGTTACCTTATTCCTTATTTCGAAACGTCGAAATTCTCCTTATATATTTTCAGGTAGTTGCATCCCTACTAACGAAAGCTTGTTCATCTTCTAGAGAGAACTCTTTCTGTACAGAAACCACTTCACTTCAAAACCTTTATCTGTTCCATTTACTGTATGCCAAATATTAACGGCGAGTTGCAGTATCAATGTCTACTATATACTGTATAGTATAATTCAGCAGTCAATATTTTGCCCAATCTGGGGAGGGAAGCCAGCATAAATGGGGAATTTATATCCTGATTTTTCTCAACTTGTGTCAAGCATTTCGGATTATATGTGGTACAAAGTGAGCTGCGTAGGGTCGATCATGTTTACATTTTTGTTCCGAGTCTCCTACAGTTTTCTGAAGCACTACAACGGGAACGCTAGAATATTTTTATTTACATTAGTTTAATGAAAGAATTCGTCCAAGCAAAATAAATGTTATCACTGCCATTACTGTTGATCACAGCTCACTTTTAAGGCAAATTATAATAAGGGTACTAGAAAATACATGCACGGAGAAACCCTCGCCTTACTGTAAATTTAAAGTTGTTGTCATGGTATCATGATAAGAATATTTCTATAATTGAAAAATCCCCTAGAAATATCACATTAATTACAAAATTATCAATTTTCTAAACATATATATGTTATTATACGTAATATAAGCACCAATTTATGATGGTAATACCATGATGTCTCGCGGGTAGTTTAATCTCGATATTCCCGGCTTAAGATTTCTAATTTCTCCCTGATTAAAAGTCATGAGCCAAAATTCAAAGACAAGACAAAGAGTTTTCTTAATAGCTTTTACACCACAAACAAAATAATTACACTACAATGTTAATGACAGTAAGGCCCGTTTCATACGCCGTACTTCACATGTGCCGAATACATTAAAGACAATAGATAATGAGCTGAAATGCCTTATTATCTATTGTTTTTAATGTATTCGGCACATGTGAAGTACGGCGTATGAAACGGGCCTAAGATAAAGTGTTAATTACTCGAATTATTAATATTCACTTTTCACTAAACATTTCACACAACTATATTATAAAGACAGTGATTTATTTACTCATATTAATGTTCATGTTCACAGTTCCACAATTAGCTCCTTGTAGTAGTGCGCTCAAATCTATGCCCTTTCATCGCTAACCGTCATTGCATCTGCTCTCTTCTTCATTGGACTTTGGGTGCTCTGTAGTTCTTTCAGCTTCCCATCGAGCGTTTGCTAAAGCGGCTTAAACTCAGCCGAATTAAACAGGTTTAACTTTAGATATTGCAACTGAACTGTTCGGTTTAAACCACAAAACAGACTATACACGATTTCATGGCGGTATTCTTTACCGTTTCTCTTCCGTTCTTCTAGCGTTAATCGGCTAAACCAGTGATTAATTTCGTCAACGCTCATCTCCTGCAAATCTGGCACACGCTTGAATACTTCACTCTCGGCTTCAAAATCACGAAACTCGGTATTTCTTGCCTTTGCCTGTGCTTTATAAACATTCGTGCTCCACCTAGTGGGTTTGATAGTTTTCTCAGGCGTTCTGTTATCTCTAACTTTCTGAACATCGGCTTCCATAACAAACCAGAAACGTTTATCCGCCATATCATTCTTAGTGAGCGTCCAAAAACAAGAGTTGAGTTAAAAAGTAACTCATTTTATATAAGGGGGAAAAGCCCAAAAATACAATTTGTTGAAATTCAATATAATTATTAAATTTTTGTCACGACAATTCTTAGAGAAATAGTACAATTTTGAATTAAATTTATCATAATCAAATTAACATATTATTCACTTCCGGGTATTATTTCCGGTATAATCACATGCCAACATTGTTTGAATTTAATTATTCAACAGCCAACACCATGCCAACAGCCAAGACCAGCCAAAGCCATATGTTGCAAGTTTATAACGTGTTCAAAATGGTGATGTTCTTTAGTTCAGTTTAATCTGAGTCAAATATGACCGCTCGACGTCTTTTTCTGGCAGCTGAATTATCCGTGTTCACCATCTGGTTTCCAATATTCAAAACACAGTTGTTGTAGGCAATATTAACCGGAGCTAGCGATGAGGAAACTGGGGTTTTGGCAGACACAAGTGGGACATCGTGGTCAACACTGGGGGTACTCAACAAACCTTCTTGGCGAAGGATACCGTTGGATGCAGATGCAATTTGCTGTCTGAATTGAACGGGGACAATTGATGTATCGTGTTCGGTTGGTCTAATAGCTGTGGAAGACGATACGATCGAGGGAACTGAGGTTGTTGGTCGCGAAGCTGACGAACTGTATCTGCTGATGATATGAGACCGTTCTCTGCTATCTTCCTCGCTGATTACGTCGTAATCATTTACAGATGCCTCTGATGCATCCAGCTTTTGTACAACTTTTTTTCTCTTGCTGTGATTTGTCAACTTTTTCGCTGTTGAGCTCTCGAGCGACGAAGTCATTCTTGGCATTATTTTGCCAATAGTGTTCTGGCCCATTCGTACCTTGGTATATTAAACATGGTCTTTTAATGCAAGTGTTGGCCAATCAGTGTCCGCTATTCATGACAGTCCGCTGCAATTTGAAATCAGTGAGGATGACCACCCACGCACAGTAACCCACGCTCACGATCATTGATGAACTTTAGACTTCGCTAATGCTTTCCTTTGCCCGGGGGTAAATAGCCGGGTGGAATTAGTAACCTCGCCCCAGTCTGACATCCGGAACGGCGCTTGGTGGTGTTAGCTTGGGAATAATATGATCGCCGCAGTAACTTAATACTGTCATTGAGGAGAGACATACAGAGTTGTAACTAGTGTACCCACTTTTTTGTGCGCATGCTTGGCAAGTTACTAGATGCATGCATCTGATTGGATGACGACTCACTTTAAACTTGCTGAGCACGCGCAGTTGATCATTTTTTGCCCGGTCACCTGAAAGAAAGTGGGTACATGAAAACGTAAGCTTCCGCAGTGTTTACGACGGTCAGTTACAGCTCTGTATGTCTCTACTCTGTGATTGTGTATATACAATATTGTAATTTACTATAAAAGACCTTTCCGGTAATTACGTCACGACTAAGACTGTTTTGAACATATAACCACCTTAAATGGAATGGTTTCTCACTGGCTATGGTCAGAGGAGCAGGACATTCTTCGTCGACACATGCATAAAAAAGAATTTTGGATTTTGACTATTAAATGTGGAAATAAGCTTAAACACGAAAGCGAGACTGAGAGGCTATGGCCCCTCTTGGCCATTCAGCCACGTTTTCGTGTTGAAGTTTATTTCCACATTTATTGGTCAAAATCCATAATATTTTTTTGATGCATCTGTTGACGAAGGATGCTCTGTTTCTCTGACCTTAGCCCGTGAGAAACAAACGTGAAATCTATTCCATTTAATCTATTAAAAACACATACATATTTTGAAAACGTTTGCGATTTGTGGTATATCCAGTGAACTCTAAGTAAATTGGAACGATAACTCCAGCGGTTAAGTCCTATGACTGGTTGAAGCCAAATTTGAAGCCAAGCGCGGGAGGCGCGCGGGATAAATTAACTTTCAAAACGACTAGGAAGAGTTTCGAGGAGCGGCAAATTCAGTTTTGAGCGAAAATTAGCAAGAAGTACTTTTTTATCAAAAGGCTTCAATTTTAAAGATTCAAACCTGGTTTCCTGGATAGTTCTAAGTATTTTACATCCACTTACAGCAAAAACGTCTGGGGGTAACAGTTTTCTATTCAAAATATTACATAAGTTTGAACGTGCCGAATAAAACTTCGCACTTTTGATAAAAAAAACAACTTCAAGACCGCTTTACGTACTGGAAACATGTTTTGTATTTTACCTTTTTTCCTTGTTGAAATACAGCTATTTCGTGCTCAAAAACGTCTTTTCGGCGGCGTATTTTCGATGCTTTACGTACGTGGCGGCCATCACGAGGGGCTTCAAAGATGGCGTCTAAGTTATCGTTCCAGTTCTCTTAGAGTTCAGTGGGTTTTCCGCAAGGTTTGAACAACGAACCAAACAAAGTATGCATGCACTAGTGTACATTCTTAACTTATAGAATATTTGCTTGCGAATAAGAATTTTATGTCTGTCATCTTGTTATTATTATCATATTGACTCTGCCAAGGGTGTGGAGGAAACCTGCTTTGCAAAGATAAAACTTTAGCTGTATGCAAATAGTTTAGCTGATGGAACAACTAGATTATTCACAAGGTGCTGTCATAAAGACGCACTCAAACATTTTACGTTTAGTCTTTTATAGTCAGCTGTCGAGGCAAGTTATTAATCTTTTCAGCAGTGAGTTTTATACATCCCACCTCCTTATACATCCCATGCACCCCCACGCCTGCATCCATCATCCTGGTGGTTATGGTATATCGGGGGTTGTGTGGGCGTAATTTATGCCCTCACCTTACTGGGCAAAACAATGTTGATACATATGTAAAAGTTATAGTTAATAGACAATTCCCATTATAGACTAATTTTAAACTAGGCAAGGAGATGCAAATAAATCACCACAGCTAGAAAGAGCATACTAAAATTAGTAAAATTACAAAATTTGGTTGCGAAATGTTGTAAAATGTGGAAAATATAGCCTTGCAAAGTTCGCAAATTTTGTATACTTTTGTATTGCGTGCGACATTTTCGGCCTAAATGTGGTAGGAATGTGGTAGGAATTTCCGCAAGCAATACAAAAGTATACAAAATTTGCGAACTTTGCAAGGCTATATTTTCCTCATTTTACAACATTTCGCAACCAAACTTTGTAATTTTACTAATTTTAGTATGCTCTTTCTAGCTGTAGTGATTTATTTGAGTTTCCTTGCCTAATTTTAAAATTAGTCTATAATGGGAATTGTTTATTATTTATGTTAAAGTTAAATAGTTAAGTAATTTCAAGAATAAAATGGCTAGGGGTAATTTGCAACCCCTAGCTCAAAATATCCCAAACTCGCGTTTGGCTCTTTCATTTTTAATTAATACGGCAAAACAAGTGCCTAGTAACGAGCTGCGGAAATGCAACATCTACAAATAGTGTAATGATAACTCGCCCAAGATGACAGACATAAAAATCTTTTTTGCGGAAACCAATAAATTAATGATTTTCAGAAATGTTATATTTCTTCTTTCTGATTCTATGTCTAACAAAGCAAGCATAGTAGTTTATTTAATTATTTTGCTAACAAGGGGTTTTCAAATTAAATTTAGGATTGCAGTTATGTTTTGGAGAGCCAGTTGATTCTGAACTTCTAAAATTAGTTACCGAAGAAGTAGCCGAACTCCATACATCTGTTAGAACCTGGAAATTTGAAACTGAAACACAGGTTTGAGAAAATCTCTTACTTGGCTTAACAGTTGTTAGATAAACAGTAAGACAGGGCGGAAGTGAAAAGTAGCTACCGCTATATATAAATGTTAAATATATATATATATATATATATATATATATATATATATATATATATATATATATATATATATATATATATATTATACACTATATATATATTATACACTATATATATATATATACTATATATATATATATATATATATATATATAT